CCCTTATCTATTATATCCTGATCCACCTTAATCACCTATTTAATTGAGCCTTTTGAAATATTGAATAAAAATTATAAAATTAATTAGTTATTTAGAAGAAAAAAACGAAATACAAAAATATAAAATAATAAAAAATGAATAAATAAATAAATAAATAAATAATAAAAGTAAATGTTGAAAATAAAAAAAAATAAGTTAAATTAAGAAAGATAGAAGAAAAAAAACGCAAGTACAATAAAAAAATAAATAATCTAATAAAAAGCTAATAAACAAATTAAAAGAGTTAAAATTTATTGTTTTCAATTCATTTTAATAACTAAAAATATCACAATCGAAAACAAATTAACTGTTTTTACCTAATATTAAGTGTCAAATTTGAGAGATTAATGCAATTTGCTAAAGCAGAACCTAAGGCTGATACACCTTCTGCACCAATTTAATTATCCCTTTTTAAATATTGAAGAAAAAATAAATAGTTAATTAGTTAGTTAAAAATTAAAAAATATGAAATAATAAGAAATGAATTAATTAATAAATAATAAAAGCAAATTTTAAATAAAAAATGAGTTAAATTAAGAAATATAGAAGAAAAACAACACAATTACATTAAAAATAAAAATAAATCAAATAAAAAGCTAATAAACAATTTAAAAGAGCAGATTGCTTTAAATTCATTTTTACAACTAATAATATCACAATCCAAAATAAATAAACTATTTTTACTAAAGTTAAAGTGTCAAATTTGAGAGATTAGTACAATTTGCTAAAGCAGAACCTAAGCCTGATGTACCAATTGCACCAATTTAATTATGACTTTTGAAATATTGAAGAATTAATATATAATTAATTAGTTATTTAGAAGGAAAAAAGAAGAAAAAATATGAAATTATAAGAAACGAAATAATTGATAATAAAAGTAAATGTTGAAAATAAGAAAACGAGTTAAATTAAGAAATATAGAAGAAAAAAATACAAATACAATAAAAAAGAAAAATAATAACAAATTAACAGATATTTTAAATAAACAGAAAGTTAAATAAAGAGAAAGTATTAATATCAAGAATAATAATATTTTTTATTAAATATACTTCAAATCAATATGGAGAACCTAGTGAGATTAAAGTGAAGAGTTTAAAAACTTTCAATATTTATAAATTTAAATTTAAAGTATATTTATAAAAAAATAAATAATTACTTCTTCTAATTTGTCATATTTTTAAATCTATTATATCATTTTTTTTTCTTCAAAAATATTAAATAGAAATTTATGGAAATTTAATTAATTAATTATAAGTGGTTAAAAAGAAAAAATAAATTAAATGAATTTATAAATTTGCTTTTCATAATTTAAACCACAAATAAGTAAGGATAACTAACATTCACTATTAAATCTTAATATTTCTATTTAAAATGTGTACTTAAGAATATAGTAGAATCCAGAGATTGAATATAATGGATAATTAGAATGCGAATTCACTAGAATAAAATAAATTTTAAGCATATTTATGTGTATTTTACGAGATACCAAATTTAATAAATTCTTTAACTAGATTTGAAACAAACTTTTTTATATATATTATCTTTGTAAAAGGTTTATAACATCTTATTTAAACATTTATATTCTTTTATTTTTATTAATATTGAGGTTTGTCTTTCTACTTTTATTTATTATTAGATCTATAAAATCAATGTTGAAGATTATTAATATAATAGCTGGAGGCAGATTATATTCCAAAAATAAAATTTTTAAACAATTTTCTCAAATTATATTTATCACCTATTATGAAATCAATTGCTTTTTCCTAAAATTTTGGATTATTTGGATTTAATTTTCTTTTTAAAGTAAATTCTAATTAAGAGAGCAAAGATACTAATTTATCTACATATCAGGAATGACCTATTTTGAAAATTAAAATATATAAAAAATATTTGTTAAGATAAAAGTAGATTGTAGGATAGAACTAATATGTAATAGTTGATAATTAAAAAAAAAAGGTAATAGTTAAAAAATTCATTTTTATTATTAAGGTTACAATGATTCTTAAAGAGAAATGATGAAAATATTGAATATGTGAGTGATCATAGCAACAAAGATACTGATAGGTTGACATATCAGAATTGCCTATTAAGAAAATCAAAATATATAAAAAAAATTGTTAAGATAAAAGTTAATTGTAGGATAGAATTAATACGTAATAGTTAATAATTAAAAAAAGGATACAAAAATATAATGGTTACAAATTCATTTTTAATATTAAGGTTATAGTAGTTCCTTTATGCTAGATTTAAAGCGGGATAATAAAAATATTGAATGAGTGAGTGAGTGAGTGATCAATATAAATTATTTAAATATCTCAAAAAACTAATTCATAATATATTTTATTGAAATTAGATTTTATTATAATAATAATAATAAAAATTTTTTTTATTAATATCTTCTTTTACTAAAAATATTTTGCTTACATCATCATGAATTTTCCTCTGAGGAAAACTGAATTTATAAAAGAATATTTTTTACATATGAATTAAAATTAATAAAAGTAGATATTGAAGAATACTGTTGATTTCATTTAAAAATATCATAATAATCATTTTGATTATTATAAATATAAGCAAAATAGATCAACCAACCAAATATCTGGCTGGCTATCTTGCTCCAAATAAAATTGTTTCAGATAAAATGAAATGGTAATATATTAAGTGTATAAGTGGTGAGCAAGAGTTATAATTATTCAACTGATGGTTGTATTTATGTATTTTTTTATCTTGTGGTTTTTAAATCATATATAATTAATTAAAGAGATAAAATACTTTTAATTAGATATTCATTTATTGAGGCTATTAATGAATGTTACAAATCATCAAAATATGTGTTCTAATTATTTTTATATTAATTAAGATATTATCAATTTACATTAAAAAAGCTATTTATAGAATAAGAACTTATATTTGATTTTGTTTTTCATTCTTAGAATTTATAAAAAATGAATTCAATAATATTACATACCTTAACTTTTCTATGTTTTCCCTTCATTAACTTATAAGATATTTCTAAATTTGTATTTTTCTTAATTGCAAATTTCTTTGGCGATTGATTTACACCAATTTTTGGGTCAAAAAATAAAGTTAAGCAAGTAAATAAGTATTTAGGTGTGTCTGATTAATAATTAATTGTATTTTAGTGAAAGTCCGCTCAAATTAATATTTGTTTAAAATGACTTTAAATTAATTAGAAGTCGCTTTTATTTTCATAATATTTAATTAAAATATAATTTGAAAAACTTTAATAAGAAACAAAAACAAAAAAAAAGAGAGTAAATTAATTATATCATTTATTTTACTATTTTAAAAGCTTTAATTCACAAATTAAAAAAAATTTAGAGAAATGGAAGATAAAAATATCAAGAATAAATCATTTGAATATACTTAGTAGTAAAAAGAGTTTATTTATGCATCTAAAAGAAGAGATATCAAGGTAACTGCTTGCGCTGGATCTGGAAAAACTTAATGTGTTCTTATGTATGTAAAAGAGGCCATAGATGAAGGATTTGATCCTTCTGCTATCTGTATCACAACTTTTAATATTTAAGCCAGCAATGATATGAAAAAGAGAGCAGTATAGTTAATAGGAAAAGACAAAGCTGATAAAATCGAAATCACTAATATTGATAAGCTAATTACTAAGCTCTTTAATAGTATTTAGAGAGCAAAAAAACAAAAAGATAATGAAAAATAAAAAAATGAAATTGAAAAAGAATTATTAATAGATATCACTTTAGTTGAAAAACAAAGCTAAGTTTATGAAGATTTGTAAGATTTGTCTCTTAGTAAAGAGATTTTTGAAAAGTACAAAATTATTATTTTCGATGAATTTTAAGACATAAACTAATTATAATATGACATATTTATGCTCTTTAAAAAAATTGGAGAATCAATTTTGGTAGTCGTTGGTATTATTCTATTTATTTTAGTTACATCAATAATTGACTTAAACTTTAAATGAAAAATAGGAGATGATGCTTAGAATATTTACGAGTTCAGAGGATCAAATTATGAATTCTTGAGATCTAAAGTAATTGAAGATGTAAACAGAGAAAACAAAAGAATTTATGGCAGTGAAGATTACACCATGCTTGACATTAAGCTCACAACTAATTTTAGATGCTCTTCAAAGATTACTAAGTTTGCAAATGACATTATTAAATCTTTTAATATTATCTAGTAAAATACAATGTAGAGCTATGAAGGTAAATTTATTTTCTAGATTAAAAACTAATTTAATTCAATTCACAAAAGACTTAGAGGGATACAAAAACGAGAAAAGCTAGGTAAAACCAACCCTGGAATCATATAAAAGCTATAATGATTAGTTTAATAGTATTTTAACTTAAATATAAACTTTCATAAACTAAGGTTATAGTTATGAGGATATTGCTATTATTTGCCCTAAAGGATCACTCTTGAGAGATATAGAATACAAATTAGAAAAGCATAATAGTTTTAAATCAGATTAAATACCTTTTTGGAGTTTCATAGGAAAAAATAATGATTTTGATTTTAAATATGAATACAAAGGAAATAAAGTTACTTTATTGACTATACACAAATCTAAGGGATTAGAATGGAAAGTTTTGTTTTTCGTCGGACTAAATGATGATTAATTTCCAAAGGCTTTTTTGAAATAAAAAAATAACTAGGATCGTTAAATAGAAGAAATGACACGTTTGTTCTATGTTGGATCAACAAGAGCAGCTAAAATTCTTAATATGAGTTACTTTTCATATCCTTAGAGATGTGTAATAAATAATTCTATTTTACAATTTTACTCACTCACTTATTATATAAAAATTAGGCTTGCAGATTTTTGAGCAAAATAAACGAAAATTACATGGAATTTAAAGGAGATATTGCTATTTTTGATGGAAAATAATGCAACCCAATTTTGTCATCTATTTTAAAAAGCTAAGATTCGAATTATAATAATGTTAATAATGTAAAATAATCTAATTTAAATTATTGGATAAAAATCATAATAAAATTATTAGTCAGGTAAATAAATAAGTGAAATTTTTGAAGAAATGAGCAATGCTTAACACTTAAAAGAACTAGAGTTTTCTTAAAAAAAATATCTTTAAGAAAAATATTTTGAGCTAGAAGAAGTATACAAAGTACATGAACAAATGTTTACTAAATAATAAATATAAAACTTCTTTTTCCATTAATCAGTAGAGTTATTGTTTACTTACTTAGAAACGTAATTCATTAAATTATTAATTTCTTCTATCTTTAGATTTTATAAATTTAATTCACCGCAATTCCATTTATCTTCTCTCATCCTTTTATGCCACTAATATAAATTTATAAATTAAAATGCTAACTTGGATATTCCATTTTTTTAGATCAAACTAATTAGTCTATTATTAATGCTATTAATATTATATTCTTAGTTTATTTGCTATTATTGCTAATTCATATTTAAATACTTTTTTAATTTTTTTTCACTAAAATATTTCTAAACAAATTATTATATTTTTTTGTTAATAAATTATATTTTCTTCATTTTTAAATTTTTTATTAGTATTTTTGAAAAATTAAGTTTTTCCTGTGATCTTAAATATTTTAAATTGGAAAAAATCAAACATTTTTGATTGAATGAGGAAGGAAATAAGGTATTTTTCATTAATTTTGAAATCAAAAAATTTAATTTTAATTATTCATAAAATGCTTATATTAAATTTAAAAAATAGAATTACTTTATGGATTATGTAACATGAAGTCAAAATAGAGTCTAGATCGTTAATTCTAAATGAATAGAAAATTTAAATAGATTAGCTATCTGCAAATTCAAAAAAGCTTTAAATCTCTGAATTATAAATTTAATCTTTTAAAAATGCATTCATATAATTTTTAAAAATTGATAAAAAAACAAATCAAAGTGAAGAACTAATTGAAGCTTTTTTCAAAGTTTCTCTTTTATATGAAATTTCAAAAAGTAAAAATCAGATCTATAAATATCTTTATAAAAAGAACATTTTTTCTTCTTTGACTAAAACTCCAATTATAGAATGCTTAGATCTATTTGTTAAGTATGTGAAGACATAAGAAAGTGAGGAAATTCTTATATTAGATAAGATATAAGATAAATCTGATTTTGATCCTGATAGAACTTTTGATTATTTTACTATATCAGGCAAAGAAACTCTTTATGAAATCAGTTAATCATTCAAAAAAACTAAGAAAATACAAAAACAAGTTATGTTAACAGTATAAAATTAAATATTAAATGATATATTTTTTACTAATTTAATTTATTTATTTAAAAAAGGTTTTAGCCAAAATTTCAATATTGAAGAAGAAATATGGTAAAGATATCAAAAAAGTCAAGTTTTATAATCCTATAAAAGGAACGGTTTTTTCAGTTTTGATAAAAGATTGGTAACTTCATTCAGACTTTATAGATTTTATGGAGAAATTTAATGAAAAACTTAAAAACCCTTAGTAAACAAATTGAATTTATCTAAAAGCTATTTGACCATGATATAATTATTATTTATAATTTATAATCAAATTTATGTTAGTTATAATTTATTAAAAAATAATTTCTTTTTTATAGTAATACTTATACATTTTATTAGATATTTTAAATTTAAAGTTTTTTTATTTCATTTATCTACTCATTAAATTTAAAATAGTTTAATTTTTTTAATTTTATTTACTTTTTCAAATTTTTGGAGGAGATCTTTTTTATAAAAACTTAAATTAAATTTATTTATTTTTTATTAAATTAAATTGTTTATTATTTTTTTTTATTATAAATTCATTATTAAAAAACAAATTTTTAACTAATTTATTTAAAGTAATTTGAGCTTTTCTAAACTAAAAAGGGCACACTTATTCTTCTTTTTTTTTTAATTATTTTTGCTAAATGTAGTCTTTATTAGATATGACAATTTATTTTTAAAAAAGTTTAATTCCATACAATTATTAATCAAATAGTATTTTTTGCTATTGCTATCATAAAAAAATATTAATTTTTATACTTGAAATCAATAGAAAATCTTTAAATACTAAAATTATAAAATGAATAACAAAAAAATTGTTTATTTATTAATATATTTTATATTTAAAAATTAATAACAAAACTTAATAGTAGAATAATAAATAAATGAATCAGTTTTGTTTATTAAAGAGATGATTATAGGCTTTTCTGCATGTTTCTGAATTTAAGCTAGGAAACTCCTTAGCACAAATTTCTACAAATTTATGCTCATCTTAAATTTCATCTCCTTCATTCTGTAACTTATTTGTTTATATATCTTCACGCACAAACTATTTGTCCTACATATTTCTTGCTCCATCTTTGTTAAAAGTTAAAATACACAATATTCTATGGAAAGGAGTAAAATTAGGGTCAGTAAATATTCTTTCTTATTCTGAAAGTTCTACATAGTAATCTTTAATAGGAATTAAATGGAATTTTAAAATAACTTTTTCCTATCCTGATGTTTAAGATTTGTGGATACGTAGTATATTTTATTTATTTTCATCCCATTTTAGCTTCATAGTTGTGTAAGAAAAACTATAATATGGAGACTCATCCTCAAAATCAATAGGTATAGCCAAAGAAGAAGCATATCCAGATCCAACATCTATCATATATTTATCTGCTTTTTAGATCAAATCATTAACAATAATGACTGTGTGATCGTTTGGTGAACTATAAGTGCTCAAAACTAAATCTGTTTTATATCCAATACTATTTAGGTAAATATGTAAAAATAGGTTTAAAGAATAGCAAAGCCCTCCTTGACCTGATAAAAGATCATTCTTTACTTCATCCCAATTAAGTCTTCTTCTTTTTTCTACTGGCGTTGCCAATAAAAGCACATTTTAAAAAGGTATATTCTCTTAAAAGTTCTAGATAATCTAATTTAGATAATCTAAGCTGGATTGATCTTCTCTTTTTGGATCAAGCTTTATCCTTTAAGAAAATTGCTTTGCTTCTTCAGCAGTTAGGATAAATTACATCTTATATATTTTTTAGACAAACTATTTAATTAATTTATTAATAAATTTTGATTATCTAATTATTAATCAATCTTTGATACAATTTGTATGCAAATTAATTAAGCATAACTGATAAAATATAATGATATTATTTAGATTCATCTGTAATTTATTTCTTTTATTAATTTTATTTTATTTCATAAAAATGTCTACTCTATTCTAATAATTAAAATGTCTTGTAAATTATTTAATTTCTTTAATAATTTCATACTTATATTTAAAAGCATAAACATATCATTACTAGTAATTTTAAATAATTATTTTATAAATATATTATAACTTTATTATGTGTTAATTAAAGATAAAAAGGTAAAAATTTAATATTATATAATTTCTAAACAAGATGTTTCAAGATATCTTAAAATTCAACTCTCCTTTTTTCATTTAAATTGAAAAAAATATTATTATTGAATATATTTTATGTTTTGATTAATTTTGCTATAATTTTTAGCTTAAGCTGTCAAAAACTTGCTCTAAAGTGTTAACGGTAAAGGTAAATTATTAATTTGAATAGAATGGCTTAATCGTTCTTTAATCCTTATGGTAATTATAAACCTTATTGATCATACCTTCTTTATCAAGATAATAATTGCTAAAAATAAAATTTAATATTTAAAGAGGAGATAACCTAAAGATCTTTTTTAGTATCTAAAAAAGCATACAATTCTTAATTAAGCTAAGTTATTATGAATATATATATTTAATCATGAATTGAAAATATTTCCAACTGTTTTGGTACAGATGACTGGTGAAATTATTTTTATAATTTTAAATTAATTTTTTAGTTCCTTTAGTTTATTTATTTTATCATATTGTTTTAGTATGAGCAATTAATAAATATTTTCAATTATCAAAAGATTAATTATTAAAATTTTTATCCAAAAAAAAAATTTATTCTTTTTGTTTGTATATTTACATATACCAGTGATTTGACCGAATAAGTGGTGATTCGACTTTAATTGGTTAATACTGTAGTTATTAATATTAATATTTAGGAGGGGGAAAGTGGAATTAAATTTTTATTTTTTCAACCAAATGATTAAAAGAGCTCTATTTAATTATGTGCAATCATCGTCAAAAAACTTTCAGTTTTAAATACTGATGCAAATTTATTTTCCTAAAAGATAATAAATAATATGAATTTTTTTTAATTTACCTTATAATAATTTAGTAATACAATTTAACAAAGTCTAAATTATGCGTAAAAAGATATCTATCTTTTAAACATACGAATTTTCAAGATTATAAATATATTTTGAACAAAAAATTTAGATTTAAAAAAAACAAAAGAAAAAATGTCATAATTAAAATAGAAAAAATATACAAAAATAAAAAATGTAATTTATTTTAAAATGATATATTTATAATATTAATATATTTTTAATAACAAAAAGTTCTATTGCTCTTACTTTTCTAAACATTAAATACTCTAATTCGACTTAAGGTAAAATTGCTTTTTTTTATTAATTTAATTTATACTTTTATTATAATATTATTCAAATCTATTTACATATTATTCTTTTAACATTTAGCACTAACTTCTTAGGTTCTAATTCGCGATTAGGAATTGGATTATCAAGATGTGAAAATTTAATAGACCTGTATTTAAACTTTAAGTAAAAATATTTTGTTTTGGCATTCATAAAATAAATTACTATATTTTCTAATTAAGTTTTTTTAATTAATTTTAATTATAGTAAATGCTAATTAAAAATTGTTGGCATGTAAAAACTATGCGATGGATTAGTAAAATGTAATAAACTTGAGTTTTTGTAAATGGACTTTACGTAAATTATTTTATTTATATATTTAAAAGTTTCTTAAATAATTATTCTTGTTATTCTTCATTTGCAAAATCAATTTAATAGAAGAAAAACAAGAGTTTATTTTTATCTTTTTTATAAAAAAATGAAACCTTTTTATAAATTTGTTCTAATTAAATAAATAGAAAAAATATGATAAAAAATGAAGGTGCTTCTATATTAGGAACTTACCTTAAAAATATTGTCAACCTTGAATAGCTGTCAATAAATTTAAAGTAAATAAAGCAAATTTATTATTATTTGAATGAATGAAAATTATTTTTTAGAAAAAACAAAATAGGAAACATAGGAGTAAAAAACTTAGTTTAAGGAATAGGCTAATCTCAAAAACTGAAAAGATTAAGATTGATACTGGAGTAAAAAATTTTAATTTATAGTTTTAAAAAAATTTTTTATATTTTTATAAATTACTTTATATTATTGTTTTTAAATTTCAACCAAATTTTCATTTTTATTCATTTTGTTTATCATTTTAAAATCATATTATATAAATAAAAGTGAAAACAACATTGATAAGGGGGCAAATGATTTAGCTTTAAGCAGTGAATATTTAGGAAATAGTCTTTAAGTTTTGGATATTTCACTTTATGGCAAGTAAATTAATTACATTTCTACACACTTAATTGAAATTTACACTAAATTTAATTAAATTTTAAATGCAAATGTATCTTTTCTTTTTAAATTTATTTTGAATAACTTTTTTTTCATATTTATTTAATAAAAAATTATCAATATATTTAAACATATTATAGATTTTATAATTTAAATTTTATTTTTGTTTTAATTGAATAGTTAAATTGACTGTGATTGTGAACTTGAAACTGGCATAGCTTTATTGAATTTACCTAATCTCAAAAGTTTAGTATTGAATTTCACTTATTAACTGTAAATTTCTTGATGGTTTATTTTTATTTATTAATTTTTTAATAATTAAAAATTATAAAAATTCTTATCATAATGTGTAATCTTAATTATTCTTCTGATCACTTATTTCTATCTAGCTTGAAAATCATTTTATTTTTATTTAAGCTTAATTTTTCATTTTTAGGCTCAATTAATATCTTTATTAAAGTATTAGGTCAGAATTTACTAAGGAAAGCATTTTCGATTAATAAAACTAATAAAATTAAATTTCTTTAGAAAATTAGCATAATCTCTTAGCTTTCAGTCTTTATTCTTATTAGTAAATATTCTTTGAGTTTTAAATATTAATTATTTTACTCAATTATATTAATTTACCATAAAATTTTTATAAAAAGTATTTTTATTAATAAACTTTAAAAATTATTTTGTATATTTTTTAAATTTTTATGCTTTTTGAGTGTAAGCTGACTAAAAATTAAGAAGTGAATATTTTCATTAGATTTAAAATTAAAAATATTATAAATCAAAATCTATTTATTAATGATATTTTTATGCTATAAAGAAATTATTGAAATATAAAGCAATTTTTAGTTATAATCAGCAAGTTAGCTGTTCATTTTTTTCTAAAATAAAATTATCATACTTTTTTTTTCTTTCTATTTTTAACTCAGAATAATAATTTTTATAAAATTAAGGTAGAGAGTTATATAAAACAATGAGAGATATTAGCTTTTGATTTCAGCTTTAGCTCAAAAAACAAAATTATTACATTTGGAATTTTTTCCAGCGTAAAAATAATTTATTTATAATTAAAGCCTATTTAATTTTAAAATTAAAAAATTAAATAATAAAAATGGTTACTTACTAGATTTTTATTAGTTATTTTTTTATTTTAGTTATCGTTATGAAAATTTAAAAGATGATATATGTCATGTTTTAGAAAACTGCTTGAATATATCAACTTTATCTTTGATGTTAAAGTAAATAGATTTTTTTATCTTAATATTAATATTTGATTTTCATTTAATAATTAATTAACTTATAACTTAACTTTTATTGCTTTAGTTTTTATCCATGTTTATTTAAATAACTAATAAATTTTTATTAATTTAACAAAAGTGATTTTGCAGATAAGGATGTTCAAGTTTTAGGTTCTGTTCTTGAAAAAAATACAAATATTTAAAAACTTTTTCTTTTCCTCCAGTAAAAAAAGATAGATAATTTGATAAAAATATTTTTATTTAATTATTATATTTTAGTTAGTAAAGAATTACTTTTAGATTTAATTAAGAAGTTAAAAAATAAAGACATCACATAACATTAATATAATTTTTAAAAAGACTTTAATTATTTAGATTGTGTTATTTTGCTAAATAATTATTTGAATATTTTACATAATAAAGTTATAATAATATTTTTTTATTAATCAAGAAAATTAATTTTAATTTTTTTATTTTTAAATTAATTAAAGAAATGATTTTTATTTGATATTTCTTACTAAATAGTATAAAAATACTTTTAATAAATCTTCTAAATCTATTTTATAAATATATTAAAAGACACAACAACAAGTTAGGTGATTAGGGTACATTATAATTATTTAATTCCTTACCAAATATCATAAATCTCTAAAATTTATTACTTGATCTAAGGTAAAATAGTGTATTTATTTTAATTATCTTAAAAACTCATAGGTTATGCAATATATATTTTTATTATTAAATTTTCAAAAAATTTCAATATTTTTTGATTAACTAATAAATATTTGCAATAAAATAAAAGCTATAAATAAATTAATGACTAAGGTATATAAAACTTAGGTATTGCATTAATTAAATGCATAAATCTCAAAGATTTAAAACTTCGTCTATAGTAATTTCTTAAATTTAGTTTTTTATATAAAAAATCTTTTAATTTTATCTTAATTTCCATTTAACTTATTTTTGTTTAAGTAATTTCTTCTGAACTTTTATTAAAAATCTACAATATATTAATCATAAAAAATCAAGTTAAATTGGAGATTAAGGTGTAAAATTGTTATTTTCTTCATTAGCTAAATGCACAAATATCTCAAACTTGTCACTAAATCTTAGGTAAAAACAATATATTTATGTTAATTATTAATATTATTAATATTCAATTTTATTTAATTTATATAGAGGTAATTAAATTGGGGATGATGGAATATCGCTTTTAACTTTTAATTAATCTTTATAAGTTTTATCTCTTGACTTTGGGTATTTATTTTTTTTTGTTGATATATTTTTAATTATTAAACTTATTTAATACTTTCAAAATTGTTCATAATTTTTTTTGTAATTTGCCTTTAAAATAATTATTTATTTTTCATTTTAACTGTATAAGTTATAATAATATCTCAAGGAGTGTTCTAAATTTAGCTCATTAATTAGCTTGCATAAATCTCTAAAGTTTGACTCTGAATTTATTGTAAACAAATGATTATTTTTTTTCAAATTCAACTATTAATTATTAATTGGCTCAATTGAATCTATGGATTTTAAATGATGAATAAAAGAAATAACTTATTTTACCAAAAAATAATTTTCTTTTTCTTTTTTATTGTACTTGTGTTTATTTTTCTTCTATCTTTCTAAATTTAATTTATTTTTTATTTTTAAAATTTGCTTTTATTTTTATTTCATTCATTTCTTATTATTTAATATTTTTTCTTGAATATTTAAAAAGCTCCAATTATATTAATGATTAATTTGCATATATATATAAAAGTTATAATAAAATCAATCTATCATAAAAATTGGCAGTAGAAAGCGAGTGTCTTAAATCAAAAAGATTAGTTGTCTTTAAAATAAATTTCTTATCATCAATATGATAGAAAAGTGGTGAAGAAGGATGAATAAGTATAAAATATTAGAATAATAGTAAATAATATGTTTTATTATATTAGATAATTTATCCTAAAATATAGATATATAGATAGATTTATTATTTTTTTATATATTTTTGAATAAATATTTTATTATTCTTTTTCTTTCACAAATATAAAATTTATTAATTTTACTACATTAATAAGTTTAATTAATACTTTATGGCATAATTTTAATTTTAATTATTTTATTTAAAAATACAACCTTGTCAACCTAATAGGGGTCTTGCTTATTTCAATGTGATTTTCTTTTTATTTAATTTAAATATATTATTTTTAAATATCAAAATAATTCTATTTTTTAGGTTAAACTACCCTATTACAAAATGTAAAAAATAAAACATATTATATTCTAATATTAGTATATTTTTTCATCCTTTTTCTCCATTTCTTTTATCACCATGATAAATTTATGTTAAAGACAACTAATCTTTTTGATTTAAGACATTTGCTTTTTACTTTCAATTATTATGACTCACTGATTTTTTCATAGCTTTTCAAATATAAAAAAATTAAATAGAAAACTAAAATTTTTACCTTACATTAAATAAAAAAAATTTACAAAAATAAAATGAAAATTAAATCAAATAAAAAACCAATAAATAATTTAAAAGAGTTAGTGATATTGTTTTAAATTTATTTTTATATTAAAATATATTACAATCAAAAACAAATAAACTGTTTTACCCAAGATCAAGAGTCAAATTTGAAAGATTAGTGCACTGTCCTAAAGCAGTTCCTAAGTCTAATGCACCAATAGCCCCAATTTAATTTTCTCTTTTTGAATATTCAAGAAAAAATATATTGTTAATCAGTTAGGTAGAAGGATAAATGAAGAAAAGAAATTAGTTAATTAATAATAAAAGGAAAAGTTGAAAATAAAAAATTTTTCTAAATTAAAAAAGAAGAAAAAAAATAGAGGGTAGAATAAAAAAGAAATTGAAAACTAAATTAAATAAAAATCAAATTAATAATCGAAAAGTGTTAGTAAAGTTTTTTTAAATTCATTTTTATATTAAAGAATAATCCAAATAAAATGTTTTTACTGAAAAATAAGTTCTAAATTTAAGAGATTAGTTCTCTTTACTAAAGCTGAACTTAAGCCTAATGCACCTTCATCACCAATTTTATTCCAACTTTTTAAATATTGAGAAAAAATATATAATGAATTAGTTAGTTAGAAGAATAAAATGAAGAAAAAATATGAAATAGTAAGAAATAAATTAATTAATGATGAAAGAAAAGTTGAAAATTTAATAATTACTAAATTAAAAAGTAAGAAAAAAAATTGAACAGAATAAAAAAGAAAAATCAATCAAATAAGAGGTTAATAAGTAAATTAAATGAGTTGTTTTGTTTTGTTTTAATTTCATTTTTATATTTAAAAATATCACTGTTTTTACCTTATATCAAATGTTATATTTGAAAGATTAGAGCAATTTGCTAAACCAGTACCTATATCTGATGCACCAATCGCACCAATGTTATTGCTACTTTTTAAATATTGAAAAAAAATATCTAATTAGTAAGATTGAAGTAAAAAATGTAGAAAATATGAAAAATAATAAGTAATGATAATCAACAAATATTGATAGAAATTCTTGAAAATGAAAAATAATTAAATTAAAAAAGAAAGGAAAAAAAAGATAAGCAGGATAAAAGGATAAGAAAAATAAATCAAATCAAAAGCTAATAAATAAATAAATAAATTGAAAGACTTTTATTGTATTAAACCCATTTTTATATTAAAAAATATCATAATCCAAAACAGATAGATTGCTTTTACCTAAGATTTAGTGTCAAATTTGAGAGATTAGCACATTTTTGTAAACCAGAACCTAAGCTTGATGCTCCTCTGTCACCAATATAATTTTCACTTTTTAATGAAGAAAATAATTTTTTAATTAGTTAGTTAGAATAAAAAAACCAAGAAAAAATATGAAATAATAAGAAAGAAATAAATAAATAGTTGAAGATGAAACAATTAATTAAATCATTCAAAAAAAAAATGAGTAAAATAAAAAAAATAAATCAAATAAAAAGATCATGTTGTTTTAAATTCAGATCTAACTAAAAAGTTACACAATCCAAAACAAATAAATTGTTTTTACTGAAGAATAAGTGTCAAATTTAAGAGATTAGTGCTCATTGCTAAGCCAAAACCTAAGCCTGATACCCCTTCATCACCAATTTAATTTACTCTTATTAAATATAAAAGAAAAAAATATGATAATTAGCTAATTAGAAGGAAAATGATAAAATAATATAAAAAGAAATAAATGAATAAATAAATAATAAAAGTAAAATTGGAAAATAAAAAAATCAGTTAAAAGAAAAAAAATACAAAGCAGAATTAAAATGAAAAAATTAATTAAAAGAGTTAGTTGTATTGTTTTAAATTCATTATCATATTATATTAAATATAACAATCCAAAATAAATAAAATGTTTTTACCCAAGATCAAGTGTCAAATTTAATAGATTAGCGCTTATTGCTAAACCAAAACCTAAGCCTGATGCCCCTTCATCACCAATTTAATTTACACTTATTAAATATAGAAGAAAAAAATATGATAATTAGTTAATTAGAGGGAAAATGATAAAATAATATCAAAAGTAAAAAATGAATTAATAAATAATAAAAGTAAAATTGGAAAATAAAAAAATCAGTTAAATTGACAAAGAAAAAAAATACAAAGCAGAATTAAATGAAAAAATTAATTAAAAGAGTTAGTTATATTGTTTTAAATTCATTATCAAATTATATTAACTATCACAATCCAAAATAAATAAAATGTTTTTACCCAAGATCAAGTGCCAAATTTGAGAGATTAGTGCTTTTTCCTAAAGCAGACCCTAAGGATGATGCACCAGTAGCACCAATTTAATTGTTGCTTTTTAAGTATTGAGATAAAATTATAATTAGTTAGTTAATTTATTAATTAATTAGAAAAAATAAATAAATAAAAACTATCAATCAAGAAATCAATTAATTTTTACAATAAGTAAAAGTTGATAATAAAAGAATTAGCTAATTATAATGAAATAAAAACACAGAGCAGAATAAAAAATAAATAAAAGCTGATATAAAAAATAAAACTGCCAGATTGTTTTAAATTTATTTTTATGCTAAAATATATCTAAATCAAAAGCAAATAAACTATTTTTACTCAAGATCAAGTCTCAAATTTGTTAGGTTTGTGTATTTTGCTAAAGCAGAACATATAAGAGGAAAAGTGAGGTCTGGGGCAACATTTTTTTAGACTAGCTTTTTTTAACACATTTATATAATAATATTTTAGAATATATTTTACTGAGAAAATAAATACTGAATAAAAATTCATATTCAAAATTGCACACAATTAACATTTTAGAATGATTTTGATGAGAAAATAAATACTGAATAAAAATACATATTCAAAATTGCACGTAATTAACATTTTAGAATGATTTTTACTGAGAAAATAAAATATAAATATAAAATAGTGAGTAAAATTTAATAAGAGTTTAAAATAAGAAATTAAATTAACTTTTGAAAAATAGATGGTAATTATTAATAAGTACAAGATAAATAAGATATATGGAAAATAAATAAGTTTAATTTTGAAAAAAGAGCGATTAATTAATATTTTAGAAGAATAATATTTATAGAGAATCTTATTAAAATGTATGAAATAAATAGATTGTAATATTTTTGAAAGATTTTAATGTAGAAGTAAGAATTAATTTTTATATGAAAACATTAAGTAAGAGTTATGTAAATAATTGGAAAAATGTAACTAAAGTATATTATGAATTAAGTTTGATTTTATAAAAATACAGAGAAAATTCATTCTAAGGATAATTAAAAACATAATAGGATGCAAAGAAATTCCTTTAAAATTTAAAATCAGGAAAATTATAAATGAAATTAATTGAATAAATTATAATATCTGATATTCTACCTCATTGTTGTGATAGTAAAGATATTGAAGAGAATTATGTAACAAAAGCGTAATTTTTAGGTTTGATGGTTTATAAGATTATTTGTGTTTATTTAAAATTAAATTAGGATGAAAGTAGAGATTCATATTTAAATAAAAGAGTTGTTGGTTGTGGAGAATTATTATATTAAAAATTTGAGAATATTTATAAAAAAAATATAATTTAAAATTTAAGAACAAATTTATTTGGAAACAATTCTATGTTTATAAATAAATATTATTAAACAGGGTATGAAGATAATAATTAATCTAATTAAAAATCATTAGATTCTATAAGAAATTTTATGGTTGATTTCGTTTTAAATAAAAATAATATTTCATTAGATATGGAAAATGCAATTATTACAGGAAAGTGGAGTACAACAATGACTGGTATATCCAAATAATTACCAAATTCTTCAATCCCAGCAAGAATAGCTTCATTAAGAATGGTAAGTAACACTCCTATATTTAGAAATCAATAACATTCATCACTTGAAACAAGACATATAAATAATAATCAATTAGGTTTTTATTGTCCAGTAGGATCACCTGATGGTGCGGATTGTGGTATTATAAAAGAAATGTCATTCATTATCTTGTGATATTACAATTGATTTTTCATTATTGAGGGAAACAATTAGATTATACATTATAGAGGGATTTGAAAAAATATAAGGAATGTATTATTCTCAATAATAAATCTAAAATAAAACAAAGATATATTTATTCGGTAAGTTATTATTTTTAACAAATGATCCATATTCAACAATATAATATCTGAGATAAGGAAGATTTCAAGGTAAAATTCCTAGATATGTTACTTTTGAAGTTTAAGGATAATGGAATGAAATTTTAATTTATGGAGATAGTGGAAGAATGATAAGACCTTTATTTGTAATTGAAACTAAGGATTAAAATAATTAAATATTCTAAGAAATAAAAGATTAAAATTAAATATATGATTAATTAATTGTTAAAAAGAAAATATAAATAAACTTGGGAATAATTTTTATCTGAATTTCCTCAAAGTATAGAATGGTGTGATATTCAAGAAATAAGTAATAAATTAGTTTCACCAAGTGCTCAAATATTAGAATATAATAACTTTTTAAGAAATAGTAGAATTAATGGATAATAAAAAAATATATCATTATAAGAAAAAAATAGATATGTAGGAGTATATTTAAATTTTGATTTGATGGAAATTCATCCTATAAATAAATGTTTTAGGTATAAATCCTTCAACTATTCCTTATCCTCATTGTAATTATGCACCTAGAAATATTTTTGCTTTTGTTCAGATGAAGAGAAGTGTTTAAAAACCATATAGTGATAATGATTTAAGATCCGATATAAATTAATATCTTATTTTAGGTTCTGCTCCTTTAGTTTAAACAATGACAACAAATATGATAAATACAAATGAAAAGTTTAACGGTACAAATGTATGTATTGCAGTATTGTAAGAACATGGATATTAACAAGAAGATTCTATTACAATTTCATCCAGATTAGCAAAATCTATGTATTTATAATGTAAATAAGATATAATAGAAGTTGTTATTTAGAAATAATAAACTGGATCGACTGAAATTATAGGAAGACCAGACAGATATAATTAAAGGTAAGAATGGAGATGTTAAAAATTTCTAACATGATTTAAATTATGAAAAATTAGATGAAAATGGATTAATTAGAGAAGGTTCAGTTGTAAGAAAAGGTGATATTGTTATAGGTAAAATATTAATTTTAAATCAAGAAGATTAAATAATTGATAGATCTATAAAGTTTGAATATGAAGAAGGAATAATTTTAAAAGTGAAATAAATTAATGTTGATGGATAATAAAAAATTATAATAAGATTTATTATTCCATTATATCCTTAAATTGGTGATAAATATGCTGCAAGATGCGGATAGAAGGGAACAATTGGAACAATTAGAGATGAAAATTAAATGCCATATACAAATGATGGTACACCAATTGATATTATAATTAATCCTTGTTCATTTTCAACCAGAATGACAATAGGTATGAATATTGAATAATATACTTCTTATCTTGTGTTATTAACTGGATTGTTTTTGGATTCTTCAATGTTTTGCGATGTAAAAGATCAACTTAATAAAACTTATAAACATTTATTAGATTATTATAATAAAATGTAAAATCTTAATGATACAAATCAAAGTGAAGAAGATAGATAGATAAGAAGAAATATAAAGAAATATATTGGGATAGAAAAAGATTTATTATCCTTTAACTGGAGAATTTATTGGATATGCTCAAGTTGGATTTGTATTTTATGCTGCTCAAGAATAAAAAGCTTTTAGTAAACTTTATGCTGTAGGATTTAATGAAGCTTATAGAAACTAAGTATTTTAACCTAGAGATGGTGCAAAGAATAATGGAGGTTCGAGATTAGGTGAAATGGAAATGGCTGTATTTTTATCTGCAGGTACAACAAATGTAATAAAATAATTTGCGTGATAGCACTCGGATGGTTTTGTTGTTGATATATGTTCTCATTGTGGTTTATATGCGCATAGAGATTAGAATTAATAAAAATATTATTGTAAAAATTGTAACGGTAAAAGTGAAGTTGTTAAAACATAAATATAATATTCGTCGAAACACTTTAAGGATTTATTGAATTCTTTGGGTATGTCTATTTATTTCAAACCAAAATAGAATATATGATTAGATTATGTTGATTTGATGTGATTTTATTTATTTATTTTTTTTTTAATTATTTATTTATTTATTTATTTTAAATATTTAAAACTAAAAGTTTTTTATTTTTTGTTTTTTTTTGTTTTATTTTTTTTTTTTGTTTGGTTTTTTTTTATTTGGTTTTTTTTTTGTTTTTTTTAAATTGATTATGTATTATTCAATGTTCATAATAAATGAATGTAATCATTAGTGTATTAATTATTTATAAAGAAATATTATTCCTTTCATTCGTAATTTTCTAGGTTTAGCTAGAATTATATTTCTGATAAATAGAAATTTTATGATATTTTATATTCTTCTCTATTTATTTTTATGTTTTCTATATAAGGTTATTTCTTTAAATAACAGCTCCAAGATTCTGTGTATAGTAAAAATATTTTTTTCATAGATTTACTAAAATCTTTTATGACAAATTCCTTTTCAGTTAAAGGAACCCCGTAGAAATCATAATTTATGAACAATTTTCTTAACAGCGCCATGTTAAAATAAAATATAAATTATAACTATAAATTTTTTCCCAAAAGCTTTTAATGGGCATTTATTAAATTTTCTAGATTTTCTTTATGAAAATAAAGAGAAATCTGTCTTGAATTTAAATCTCCGATTTATTATTTTTATTATTCGAGAGAAAAATCAGTTCTCGTTATATATTAGTAATAATATTCATTATTTTAATTTGTTGGTGGGATAATAATATCCTTGTTAAAATAGATTACATCTATTTTATTATTATTTATGAATTATTCATCCGTCTTTTTAAATACAACAAAATTGGCAAAATGTACCAAATTCTTGTCGACGAGCTGTATAAACCATTCGGATGCTCCCTTAGATTTTTCAAATTTTTAAATCTTTTCGGTGTACTGCCAATCATTTTATTCAAGGGAGTGAAATGGGCATTAAGATATTATTTGTTTGGATATTTTTTCAAATAATTCGGAATCAAATTAGATTCCATCTATTGTCAGAGATTGAATTTAGCTATATTATTATTTTATAGCAGTTTCAAATTCGATATTAAATTGATCGATAGCTTTTTTGATATTCTCGTTTTCTAAATTTTTTTTTGATTTAATGATGTCATAAAAAATTTCTTCATCCTTATCCATATATAAAGAGAGAAGTTAATCAAATTTATAATTTAGATAATCATATAAACTCCTGAATTCATTGAATTTTCCTCTGGCATCTAATTATTTATTGAAATAACATAAGAATTTTTACACAATTAGATAAACAAAATTCTTGTTAAATTAAATATCTTTTACTTTTTGCGATTGGTTGATATTTTGTAGTGGCTTGAGCATTTATTATTCTTATTTTATTTCTTATTAATAAGACTATTTATGTTCTTCTTAATTTTCTTGATTGATATTATCACTCTGATATTAGTGATTTTATTCTTCTTGCTCTTATGAATCTTCTTCTATTTTTATTTTCTTACGAATTTCAGTTTCTAAATTTTCGTCTATTTTTGTTTCTTGGGAATCTTTGGGTTTATCGGGGTTTAAAGAGAAACTTTATTTTCTTTTGCTCATTTTTTATCCTTGTTTTTGTCTTTATTTTCTAATTTATAATTGAATTATTGTTTTACAATTATTATTTTTCAATTTTTATTATATTACTTTAATCATAATTATGTTTAAAAATCTTAGAAATAAATTATTTCATTATATTTAAATTCTTTTAACTATCAAATTTAATTAATAATCTTATACTTTATCATACATATATTCACCCGTATTTATTTTTATTGCGAAACAATTCATTATTTTCTTGTTTATATTTTTCGAGGTTAAAATTATTTTTTTCCATTTATTATTTATATTTTATATTTAAAACTAAAAGTTTTTTATTTTTTATTTTTTCTTGTTTTATTTTTGTTTTTTTGTTTTTGTTTTTTTTATCTGTTTTTTTTTTGTTTTTTGAAAATTTTAAAATATATGAATGAAAAAAAATATTTTATTATTAAGTGTTATCATCTCAATTTATTATATTTTATTGCTAATATTTAGGGTTCTTAGAATTCTCTATAATCATTTTATTTAATTCCAAGATTATCTATGTATGGCTTATAGTTTCCATGGTATCGAGGATCAAAATTCCTGATATAACTTTTTTATATTTTAATTATCGATCCATGATAATTTTGCAGCTCATAATCATGCATAGGGAAACCCAAGAATTCAGGAAATAGATATTATTTTTCCAATATTGCAAGTGTAATATAAACATCTATATTATCAAATTGCTTTCCTGACTCTGATTGATATTTGATAATTTTTTTTATCATATTCTTATATGGAACGTAAATAGCCATTTACTAAAATTCGTTTCTGTTGTTTAATTCTTTATTTGGCGACTCGAAACAAAAATTCTAGTAATCTTCCTTTTGGCTGTCCTAGGGAAATGATGTAGTGTCGAAGTTTATGAACACACCTTTTGAATTAGCAAATGCAGAATTAAAATTTACTAAATGGACCATATCTTCATCAATTACATCTTAGAACCTCTAGTTCTATTTCAATATGAGCTCTCTGTCGAATAGATCACTGAATTGATCGTAATCGAATGTTATGCTCTCAAAAGGAATATTTGATACCATAATGCCAACTATAATATCATAGAATTCTCTGTCAAATTAATTTTTAAAATTTTATTATTGGAAAAATTTTTATGCAAGTTCCAAAAAATTCAAATGAAAATTATTATTATGCCCCAAGAACTTATTTCTTATTTGAATAAAGTCTGTTATTTTTCTATCTTTTTACAGACTTACATTTTCCATTTTTAAAGCTTTCAACACTTTTATGCTGAGTTATTAAGCATTGCCTTAAATAGTGTTACCATCAGACATTATATATCCGGTTACAAATCTGAAACACATAACCAATGTTCTAAGGATTTGATGTAAAAAATTATTTTACAGATCTTATACATTAAGACCAAAATATTTTTTTTCCTGAATTTAATTATTTCTTATCCTCGCGACGTTCATTTGAGGATCGATTTATTAATCAAATTCATCGTTTTCCAATTTGCACTGAAATTGTTTTTTCAGTATTTTTATCGGCTTGCAAAGCTCTTATTCTTCTTCTATTTATTTAGAAGTTTTTTGATTTTTGTTGTTGTTATTATCCATATCTCTGCACGGTATCTATTTTTCTAATTATAAATTTTATAACTTTTCAGAATTATTATTTTTCATTTTTTAGTTAATTTCAGTTTTAGATAAATTAAAAATTAATTATAATTATATATAAATAAAGCTTTCACAACTAATTTTTTTCATTTTTCTAATTTAATTTTTTATTTTATTTTGTCCATTTAATAGTTCTACATATCTATATAATTATCCTAACCCATTTATAAAATAGGTAAAAGAAAATCTTATTCTTTGTTGATAATTCCACAATAACTATCATAAAATCTTACCAACAATCTAACTGTTCCATATGTATCATATTCATCTTACTAAAAAGGAACTCCATAAAAATCACAATCTAGAAATAGTTTTTTTATTATAGCAAATGCTAGATAAAATTTATAATTTTAATGTTCTGCATATTTTTATAAAATTTCATAAATATTATACATATTTGCATAAATATGTATTTATGATACAAATAATTCATCATTACCATCTTATTTAAATGGAAAATTTGTTAAATTTAAATATTTATCTATTTTTTTGCCGTGTTCACCTTAAATATCCTTATTCACAAAAAATCCACATCCTATAATTTTATTTTCATTATTTAAAATAACATTAAAACTTGCAATTTAATTAATATTTTAAATAAAAGCATAAGAATTAAAAACAAATTCTCTTGTCATATTAAAAAAATATTCATATGATAAAGAATAATTTATATATGATTTATGTGTTGTTTTATATTTTTTAAATGGCATCCAAGTAATTATTTAATCAATAATTTCACTAAATAATTTCTAATTAAATTAGGCGTTCGCTTTTTAATTCAAATACACCTCAGCATAAATTAAAAAATAATTTTCAAATTCTACTCTTTAAATTTATTTATCATTTTTATTTTTTTTAACAACATCTGAGATACATTTATATTATATCATATTTCTATTGTTGTTTTAACAATATGTTTATTCAAAATATTATTTAAGCATATAGAAAAAAGTTTTTTTTTCTTAGAATTTTTCTTTAAACATATTACTAAGTTCAGCAAACATTTTTTTATTTTCTTCGAATTCTACTGCATAGGTTTTTTAATAATTTTTTTCTTCATTATCCTATGATATTATATTATTCATTTATTTTTATAGTTATATTTCATATTAAGATTCTTAAACATTATTAGAATCTCTTATTCTAGGTTTTTCCATCTAGCTAAGTTTTTGATCCTATTCTTTATTCTATTTTTTATTCTATTTTTTATTCTATTCTTTATTCTATTCTTTATTCTCTTCTTGATTCTCTTCTTCAATTTTTTTATTTCTGAATTCTCTTTATATTTTATTTTAAAATAAATCCTAGTTTTATTATTTATATTTTTAATAGTCAAAAGATTAATTATTCCTATCCATTTTATTTATATTCAAAACTAAAAGTTTTTTATTTTTTTTTGTTTTTTGTTTTATTCTTTTTTTTTGTTCTTTTTTTTTTTATTTTGTTTTTTTTTCTTTTTTTTAAAATTTTTAAAATATATAGAATGAAAAAAAATATTTTTATTCAGTTCATCATTAATTCATATTTGTTTAAATTAATTTAAACTGTAATCATAAATTATTTAATTTATCATTTAATAGACATAATTATTAAAATTGAGCTTTCCTATAGCTTTCAACCTAAATTTTCAAATTAGATTTATAGGGTTCGTGTTCCGATTGTCTGTTATGATTAAACTTTCTTATGTAGCTTTTTTGTAATTAAATCATCGCTTAACGATAATTTTAAAATTCATAGTCATGCAAAGGAACTCCGAAGAAATCAGGCACAATGAAAAATTTTTCTATGATAGCTATCGCTAAATAGAATTCGAAATTCTTAAAATTTCGCAATTTCGCAAGATTTTATTATTAGACGTATATTGCCATTTATTGAACTTGATTTTTTAATTATAATTAAATTCTCTTTAACTAAACACAGAAATTAAGTTTCTTTCTTAATTAGCTTTCTATGGGGATTTGTTCAACGTTAAAATTTATAATATACCCAATAGAATCTTAAACTCCATAATTGCAGCTAGCAATATGAACTAGATTTCTATTTACTAACTATTAGAACCTCTTGGTTTGCTATTTGATGAGATCATTATTCATCAAATCTTTAGCGTGCTCTGAATCAAGAGTTAAGGTTTAGAAAGGAACCTAAGTGATAATGCAATTCAAAACTTTTTGATAGTATTCAACATGAAAATATTTTCCAGTTTCCTCGTGTAATAAATACGATGCGTTTTACATGAACCAATCATGGAATATTTTGTTATGCTCTTGATATATATTTCTGGTTGGTTAAAAATCTGTTATTTTCATCGCTTTTTATTAAATTTAATATTGCTCAGGCAAAAGATTTTTAGTTATATGTTTATCTATCACTGAAGAATAACCAAGTAAGCTTGAATTAACAATGTCAAGACCAAAATCTTAGAAAGTCTACTTATCTGTTATTTCTTTGAAATGATAAATCATTCTTTCTATTTCTTGCTCTAATGTTTTTCCAGAATATTAAAATTTTGGAAAATCATTTCCATTATCAGGAAAAGATATATATAAATAACGTGGCTCTTTTGGAAACTTTAACCTCGTAATTTTTGAAAGTTGCGCTTTAAGGTAAAGTTGTGCTTTAAGGTATAGTCTGAGTCTATTCAGATCTTATCCTTGCTATGTTCATTTGAGGTTCTATTTATTAATTAAATCCGATATTTTCAAAAGTGTCTTGCACTGAAACTTTTTTTGGAAACTTTATTGTATTATAAAGTTCCTGGTTTTCTTCTCTTAGTTTTTAAATCTTTTAAAATTCTTCTTCTTCTTCTAATATTTATTTAGAAGTTTTTTTATTGTTATTAGTATACATACCTATGCGCTTTATCTATTTTTCTAATTTATAATTGTTATATCTTTTCACAATTATTATTTTTCAATTTTTATTTAATTTTAGATAAATTAAAAATTAATTATATCGTTAAATAAAAAGAAAATCAAATCAAATCAAAATTTCATACATTGAACAGAACTTGCATTTCTATCCATTCTAATTACATTTAGAATTATAAATGTGAATATTCTCATAATCGTAAATACCTTTATATATGCTAACTTTTTCAGGTAAAAATTCCATTATTTAATTAAAAATAGACAAACTCTAACTCAATCCTTTCCAATTATTATCATTTATCAGATTAAGCAAAAATATATCTTACACAATTTCTTATAACATCTGTAAATAAGAATAATGTTATTATTGAATTTCTTCTCATACATAAATGGATTGAATTTTTTACAACATGAAAAGTTCATCAGGTTCAACTCTAATTTTATTTTTATTATCCAGATAAATCTTTGTTTAAATTGGAATATAACAAGATTCTCTTTCATTTTCATCTTGAGAAAATATGTAACTCTTGTTGAAAACTTATAATTCATATTCCAAATCAAGATATTGATAAATCTTATAGAGTATCAAAAATGTAATGTCATTGAAATGAGAATTATTTAAATGATCGGAAAACAAACATACTTTTTCCTTTTCTTATTATCAAGACCATCTTTAAACCTGACTCATTTTCAGGATCTTCGTCTTCTATTATATTGATTATTATATTAAAGGATAGAAGATAATTATTGAAATGAAAAGTTAGTTTTCTTTTCTATTTTTCAATATGTCCCAATTTTATGCACATATTGAAGTAATTGACGGCTTATGATATAAATAATTGTATATCTTCGCAAGATTATTTAACTGGTTTATTTATTTACATTATTTTTAAAACAAAATCTTATTCATGATCGTTGTATTCAATTTTATCCATAGTCATGGTTTAGTATATTTTATCCTATTATATTATATAGATCTATTAATTGTAAAAACGTAAGATATAATAACCGTAATTGAACATTTTCTTTGTTTTGTCCCATAATTTTCTTTCTTCTTCTTCATCTTCGAATGGATAGTAATCTATGAATTACTTATTTAATTATAGTGTTTATTTGTTTATATGTTTGTGATTTAGATCATATATTTCTTGTTTTTAGTTTCCTAAAAATTATAAGAATCCTTTTACTATGTATGTTGTTTTACATTATGCTTTATTCTTTATTTTAATTGATTTTTGAATATATTATTTTTATCTTTTTTCTGAATTATATTTTTCAATTTTTTTCCACCTCAATTCCAACTATTCGTTCAAATAAATTATTCTGTTGCTCTATATAATTTGATTCGTTCAAATAAATTATGTAGTGCAACGGAATAATTTATTTTCACTCAATATCTATTTTTTTATCACCTAATTATTCATTCCAATTCTAACTATTTGTTCAAATAAATTATGTAGTGCAACGGAATAATTTATTTTCACTCAATATCTATTTTTTTTATCTAATTATTCATTTCAATTCCAACTATTCGTTCAAATAAATTATTCCGTTGCACTACATAATTTATTTTCACTCAATATCTACTTTTTTATCACCTAATTATTCATTCCAATTCTAACTATTTGTTCAAATAAATTATGTAGTGCAACGGAATAATTTATTTTCACTCAATATCTATTTTTTTATCACCTAATTATTCATTTCAATCCCAACTATTCGTTCAAATAAATTATTCCGTTGCACTACATAATTTATTTTCACTCAATATCTATTTTTTTATCACCTAATTATTTATTCCAATTTTAAATCAGAAAAAAGAATAAAAAAAATAATTAAATATTCTCAATTTCCGCACTTAATTATGTCTGAAGAAATAATTAAATGAGCGCGAATAAATTTTGTAGTGAAACGGAATAATTAAATGAGCGCGAATAAATAGGAAGAATTAATTTGATCTTATTTAATTTGATGCTCAGAATTTATTTGTTTGTAAAGATTTCAGAGTTAAAATTGTATCAATTTATAAATAAAAAATAAAATAATTTATCTAATTTTAAATCATAATTAATAAATAATAATAAAAAAATAAATAAATAAATTTCAATGTCGCACAGACAATTAAATCTGAAGAAATAATTAAATGAGCGAATAAGAAATTTATTTGTTTGTAGAGATTTCAGAGTTAAAATTGTTTACATTTATAAATAAAAAATAAAATAATTTATCTAATTTTAAATCAGAAATAAATAATAATAATAAAATAATTCATTTTCAAGGCACACATATGAATCAGAAATAAAATAATTAAAAAAATAATTCATTTTCAAGGAGCACAGACAATTAAATCTGAAGAAATAATTAAATGAGCGCGAATAGCAGGACAGACAATCAAATCTGGAGAAATAATTAAATGAGCGCGAATAAATTATGTTGAGGGAAATTTAAAATTATTTTCAACACAATAATATGATGAATGTTATGCTGATGAAGAAAATAAACTTAGTATATTATTAGAAAAAAATAAAAAAATACCTTATAATTAACTTAGATATGTAATAACACCTATATTTTTATCAGGAACATAAGAAATTTAACATTATATTGTTGTAATTAAATATCATTTGAAACCTCATTAAATTGTAGCTTAAATTTTAAATTTTATTATTCCTCAATTTTAATTCAAATTTTTAGATACAGATAATTTTATTATTTATAAAAATATTAATGGAAATTAGGTAGGTTACTGTTGTAGATAGATACATAATAAGGAATTTATTAATATCCTAAATTGGATCCGAAAAAAGATAAAAGTAGATATATAATAAAATTAAAGAATGGAATATTTAATGGATATTATACTTAAAGAAAGAAAACTAATGGAAATTATCATTTGATAAAAATTAATTTGTATCGCAAAAAGATAAAAAATTGGGGATTCATGGGGATTAGTAGGGGATTTTCTTTACTTTTTAATTAATTAAATTGTCTATTTTATATTATTATTATTGTTATTATTATAAAATTATTTTATTTTTGTTTATAAATTATATAAATGTTAACATGACTGACTCTACTATTTTTTGAGAGAATTTGAAGCTACATAAATTTTTAAAAATAATTTTTTTATTTTTACTTATCAGTTTAATTTAATTCAAAAACATATTAAATATTTATTGAGCAAGTAATCTACCTAAATTTACAAAAGATAATTAAAAACACAGTTTTTTATTTTTATTTTTGCTTACAAAAAAAATATTTAAAATTAATACTTCATATAAAATAACGTAAAGATATTTAAAAAAATAATGTTATTTTTAATATTTGTTTATTAATAAGATTATTAATTTAGTGATAACAATACATAAACAAATAACAATTAAAAAAAGAATCTCAGATTTCTTAAATTAATTGTATCACCTAATTTTAAAAAATATTGCGAGCTGCAACATTCTTTTAAAACAAAAATTATTTGTATAAGATAGATTTAAAATATTTTAGAGTTAATGAAAATGATAAATAATGTTATTTAAAGCATTAACTACTTTTAACAATTAAATTTATGTGAAAATAAATAAATA